AGAAAGAAAGAAAGAAAGAAAGAAAGAAAGAAAGAAAGAAAGAAAGAAAGAAAGAAAGAAAGAAAGAAAGAAAGAAAGAAAGAAAGGCTGATTGAAACAAATGATAAAATTATTGTGTGAAAATATTTTAGCACAGCTGTTACATACATTTCACAGTCAAAGTGACAGTTGTTTCAACAGCATCATGTTCATATTGTACCAAACATGTGATGTTGGTGTTGTGATGCTCTGCTGTTGGATAAAGGTAAAACATTTCTCTTGCAAACCACCAATCCATATCATCATCAAGTACTGTAGATTTTCCATCATTCGTTGTCCAATAAAAGTGAATATGTTCTCTGCGAGAACATGATGATGGAGCCATACACCAAAACATCACACGTTGTCTTTCCACTAGATAAGGAACAAAGATACGTGGTTTTGATGGAGCTGAAAATAAGCAGAATTGAACAGAAAATATTTATGTTGTATTTTGGAGTTTAACTTTTATCATCTGTCCTTTTACACACTTTTCTTTGTTGTTTGCTTTTTACTCAATCTTTATATTTTGAGACATGATCAAAGCATATAGTATTGACTTTAAAAGCAATCCTGTACACCCAATCAATAATTGACAAGCAGATACTCACCAGTAACTGAAACATGAACTTTCTTTGGGAAAACATAAGTTTGGTTACAGCCCCATTCCAGTATGAAACCATACTCAAACTCTCCACGTCGATGCTCATTTAAGTCGAAAACATCATTTGTATCAGAATTCACCTCTTTGACAGTTTTTGAATGAACAATATTTGATGGATCTCCTTCAAACAACTTCTTTTTGTATGGGATTGTCACTTCATCTTGTGGAAAAATCATGTTATATCTGATTTTAATGCAGTCAATAGATTCTGCTTGAATGTTTTCTGATACAATGATTGTAAACTTTTTGTCATCAAGCGTTTCTGCCAAAACGTGAAAAATTGTGTTAGTATTCTACATTCTGTGAAATACAGATCATTGTAACTTTTAATTGCAAACATTTTTAACACAAATCAAATCTGTGGTACACTGAGGCCGGCAGCTGCTGACGCTCAGAAAAATCCAGAAAATGACAGAGTAGATAGATGACATGTTTCTTTAGATCTTTGGTGTGGCTGTAATAAAATAATTAGAAATAATTACATCTCCTCTTGTTTTAACTGAGTTTAAAGTTTAATTCAAGAGATCTTGTACATAAATTTAATTTCTTTACGCACCTTTCGGTTCTTTCTTTGTGCTCTGTGTCTTCTTAGTGCTTGTATGGAAGTGATCTTTTAACAGGAAACTATGAGAAATGCTGTAATGCTGGCTGTCACTAAAAAGGGAAGATGATGGTATGAAAGTACAAACGTATGTGTCTAACAAAAACTTATTTTAGCATATAGTTCTTTTTAATGTTACCTAGCAAAATTAGAGTTTTGTTTGTTTTTTTAGGTGTAAATAAATTAACCATTAATGGATATGGGCATCAGTGAACCCTATAACCCTGAAAGGAACATGGGGGTAAAAGATAATAGATGGATGGAAGAATATGCCATTAATGTTTTAGTGTTGTGATTTACTGACCACATGGCAAAATTATGGCCCAGTTCTTGCCCCACAACACTAACATATTACAAACAATGACGGCCCTTTGGTGGCCCAGATGTAAAGTGCCAGAGGTGGTCCATACATGGGCCAGCACCAAATCCGCTATAGATTTATTGGTTGTCCAATTCTGGCCCAAAACAATTTCAGCACTGGCTCCAGATTTCAGCCTAAAATCACCCACATAGCAACATTGACCTATCACAGTTCTGGCATGAATGCTCCTCTCACTCTTTACTCACATACTGCAAACAATGACGGCCCTTTGGTGGCCCAGGTGTGCTAGAGGTGGTCCATACATGGGCCAGCACCAAGCCAACAGCAAATGCATTGATGGCCCTGAGCTGGCCTGAAACAGTTCCAGCACAGGAACTTGATGTCAGCTACACCAAATCCCTCAATCTAATAATGTATGTTTAAATAATAAATCTTTAAAATTGGTAAACTGGGAATGTCTGGTCTGTCCCCTGTCCAGATGATCTTCAACTCATGCCTCCAGTGCAGCTATTCACTTGTCCAAAGGTGGATTGGGGACATGAAATCTGAAAGGGCCATGTTCAGGGTTTCTATTGGAAATGCAGCTTTCAGGAGCTGCATGGCCTGAAGTTCATTGGTACCTCTCTTGGTGGCACCCAAAAGACTCACTATTGTGATGAAGGCCATAGAGGCTGAAGAAGGGGACCTTCAGGACTTCATGGTACCAAACAGCTCCTGAAGCATCTCATGGGCACAAGGTGGCCAGAAGGACTGCAACATCTGTGGCTGCAATTGCAAAAACTTGGCCTGGGAGAAATTCATCAGGGCATGGAGAAAGACTTTTGGTTGACCTCTAGCAGGTTCTTACAAACTGTTTGGTGACTCAGAAAAGGAAAGCAGACCTTGTCTCAGGTCATTTTTGTTTGTGTGTTGGGAACTGCTGACCCAGACTGAAGACTTTGTTGAGCAGTGGAAGAAGCACTTCTCCTTTATCTGTCCACCATATCCACCTTTGAGGAAGCAGTCTATTGTTTTTTTTCTCAGCCTGAACTTCCTCTCTATATACCTGGATATTTTCCAGTCTGCTAAAGTTACTTTTATCTGCATGTTTAGAGAAAGTGATGTGAATGGAGGCTGGTTTCCTCAATGCCGTTCTAAACTTAAAATTCCACAATACACTGAAAGAAATGATTCTGTGGCTATGTACATTTTAATTAATATATTGTGTAAAATATATTCAATATAATTGTGTTTTTGATTTTGAGGCAACAATTTAATTAAATTTAAAATAAAAATGTTTGGMGTAAAATCCAGTCATTGTAGTTAAATAAAACATAAACATTATGTTTATGTAAATCTAAATAAAAACAATATTGAGTGATTTGAAATGAATGTATTCAGGTTATTTTAATTTGAATAGCACTTCCTGTCAAAGTGCACTTTCTCTTTCCTTTTTGAAAAATGTGAGCTGCCAGCTACAAGACATTTGAGGAGAGATTACAAAAAGTTTCTTCCACTGATCACATACAGTATCAACATGTAACTAGTTCTCCCGTTGCTTCGACCAATTACGTCAAGTAATGAGCTCCAGCGTTTAAACTTTATTTATTTATTTAAAAAAGGGAGCTCCGATTGTAAAGTAGAATAAATCAATACATACAAAATTTTAGTATAGATTACAAATGTTTACTTTTTTTGCAGGGAAAGGGAGTTCTAAGCATTGCCTTCCTGCTACGTAAGCAGACACAAAGCATTGTGGGAAATGTCTGTAAAATGTGGATCCCTGCTGGTTACTAAATATTGTCTTTTGCGCCGTGTTTATTATAATTTAACAGAAGCCATATGAGTAATTTTGATTGCTGCCAGCAAAAATACTTTGCAAAGCTGACCTACTAAAATGAGAACCGAGTGAACCGTGACCCAAAGCGACAGTCAGGAAGGACGTATATCTTCCCAAATATAGTGTTTAGCTGGGAGGGGAGCTGTTGGATGGAGCACATGCATTGTGTCATACCTTTTGCTGTTCAAGACAATGATGACCAGCAGATAATTTGTTATTAGCAGAACTGCAATTTAAATTTAAAAAGTGTGAATGCACTTATGAATCATAAAAATTAGTAGTAGCCTAAGACCGATAAAGTACAAATGAAATGTTTAGGTCCGCAATTAGCAGATTTGCACTTTAGCTGACTGGTGCCCACCACTGCTATTTACACATTGAGAAGTTTATTGTTTTTAATTCCACTCCATATTTTTGTGTAGGTTTTAAATAATTATGAACTGTTTTCTATTCAAATCTATTTATATTAAATGAATAACTATTAAGAGTTGCATTTAATTAATATTTACTCTATTCCAAACATTGTAAAATTTAATTAATAATATTGCTTGTAATCTGTTGCCCCATTTTTATTGAGTAGATATGGTGTATTTTTTCTTACAGTGTAGAACCAGTCTGAAAACTGTACATCTAAGGAGAATAATTAGAATCAAGGGTACACACAAATATAATGGGAACAAAAAAATAAAACTAACCAGACCAGAGCTGTTTGTAATTGTGTTCTTATAGAAATGGACATCTGTATGCTGTTATATGTAGACCCAGTACCAGAACTCCAGACTGAACTGTCATCAGATCTCACTGCCCACTTAAATTTCACAGCTGTCAAAATCCCAAAGCTGTCTCTGGCATCTCCTGAGCCACTTATTACAACAAGAGTAATCTAGTGCGTCCCAGGAGAGGAAAAAAAAAGAGCTCTGCAGATCAGCTTGTTGCCTTCTGGTCATGCTTCAAGTAAAGCTCAGTGATTGGTAGTGGGTTCTGCGGCATTTGCTCCTGATGACATATCAAGTGACTGATTGGGGCAATGTAGGGATTGGATGTCAAAAATATTTTCTGTGGTCATCTGGCTAAATATTAACACCCAAACAAAATGAACAGCTGATTGCTAAATCTGCTCTTTGTATACATTTTGTGTCTTCTTTTAAATCTATTTCCACCTGCTGGTGAAAATAAAGACCTGCTCCAGGAAAAGAAAGAGACTAGTGACACACATCAAAAGAAGTTTCTTTCATCAGGCATGAAGTCATGGTGGCTTTCAGACAACTGCTGAAAAGAAAATAGATTTCTTCATGAAACTTAATATACTTGTATATCTTGTGTATCAGGTGTCCTGTTGAGTAAATTTATATCTTCAGGGTGTGAAATATTTGCAAACCGTCCGTGTAGACCATCGTCAACTCCGTGCGATGTTTATGAGTGGAACATCTTGTGCATGCCCACCCTCCACTTTCAGCACCAAATCTTTTTAAAGTCGTTTTTCTGTTTGCCATAAAATATGATATCACTTTGCTTGCCTGCATGATTTGGATTCTCATTTTAGTGTAACTGATACAATCATGTGAGCCATTAATTTTTAGTCTTTTTTAAAAACAGACCCCATCACATTCCCCTAACCCGAAGACATGGTTGTTGAAAAAAAGAGTTGTGCTTTTCTGCTCACTTCTGCTTCTTTTTCCATGTTGGGAGAAAAAGAAGACAAGTTTGAAAATAAAGAGACAAAACCATTTACAAGAACAAGTTGAAAGACAAAACGACAGCTGAGTGAGGAATCATATTTAAATTCAGGATTTATGTTCCAGGTTAGAGATAAATCACATTTTTTAATTAACTAAAGCAGTGATTACCAACTTAGGGTCAAATTATCATTAAATTTAATAAAAATTGCTAATAGCATTTTACGTTTTGTTGTAATTTTTGTTTGATTTTATTTTATTTGTTTTTCAGCTGCTCCCTCCAACAGGAGTCTCTGCACTGAACTAACCCACAAAAAGATTTGGCAGCTGTATAGTTTTCTCCGAAGCCTTTCCTGATGTAACCACTGACCACCAAGCTACCACAGCCCAAATGTGTGGAGCTGGGGGCTTCAGATTTGGGTGCCTGTGGGAGCAGCTGTGGGTCTTAAGAGCCTTGCTAAAGGGCCCAGGGTGGGATAGAGGAGGAAACAGGTGTGGATGCTTCCCCTTCCCCACCCACATTTTTGATGCAATGGTCAAGAGGATTAAAATCCACGACCTGATCACAGGTGGCAAGCTTTTTGTTTTTGGTTATTAAAGAATTTACCTTTTCCTGTCCTCATGAGTCTGCAATCTGGGTCCAACCACACCACCACCTCCCAACTTCTCACATTTTAGTTTAGAAACTTTTGCGTGAAAATCAGAAGTTGATATAATTTTTTTCAAGAAATGCAAGGCCTTTAACCCTTTGATGCACAACATACACACACCCCTTCTAATGCACAACATGGGTCACAAATGACCCACTTTCATTTTCCAGATTATTTCATGCTGAGTTTTTCTTTGCTCTATCTTTTGAAATCAATTTATTTTATGATTGAACATTCCAAGTATACTTTAAATATCTTGCTTTTAATGACTGCAGATCATTTATCAGTGTGCATTGCCAATGCAATGCACACTATTGTGATTCGTTTCCCACCCAAGTCATCTCAACTTTGCCATGCTTCTCCTCCTGCATACTTTGTCCTAGAGCTGCCATTGTAATGTATATCTGTAAAGCTCCCATGCCAAATGATGGCTGTGCCTTTTGGTGCCTGTAAAACTTATAGTTTATGAAATATCAATGTTTAATGAATTATAATGGCAGTCAATGGAGCCTTGT